TTATATAACAATTTATTGTGTATTATCTATATAACAGCTTACTGTGTACTATTATTTAACAGTTTATGTGTACTATTATATGACAATTTATTGTGTACTATTATATAACAGTTTATTGTGTACTATTATATAACAATTTATTGTGTACTATTATATAACAGTTTATTGTGTACTATTATATAACAATTTATTGTGTACTATTATATATGAGTTCATTGTGTACTATTATATAACTGTTTATTGTGTACTATTATATAACAATTTATTGTGTACTATTATTTAACAGTTTATTGTGTACTATTATATAACAGTTTACTGTGTACTATTATTTAACAGTTTATTGTGTAACTATTATATGAACAGTTTATTGTGTACTATTATATATGAGTTTATTGTGTACTATTATATAACAGTTTACTTGTGTACTATTATATACAGTTTATTGTGTACAATTATATACAGTTCATTGTGTACTATTATATAACAATTTATTGTGTACTATTATTTAACAGTTTATTGTGTACTATTATTTAACAGTTTATTGTGTACTATTATATGACAGTTTATTGTGTACTATTATATAACAGTTTACTGTGTACTAGTAAATACAGATAGCCCATTGTGTAGCTTTGTGCTTAATTCCAAACAAACAAATTCTTATAGATTTAAAATGAATTTTTCTCTCAGCAAACATATTTTTAATGTAAAACTGGAATGACGATTTGTTTATATATTTATTGAGAGTATTTATTAACATCTGCTATGTCGTTTTGTCATTGCAGTTGACCATATTCTGGGTGCATGACCTAACAGCATGACTCAAGAGATTGCACAGATAAAATAAAACTAATTCACAAATTGTGGAAGTATTTCTTTATATATATAGTTCTAATTAGACAATTAGGTACAGTTACGTGCAATATAACAAAAAAATAGATGATTGTAGACGCAGAATTATCTCCATTAGATAGCAACAATGAATTTTATTTGCAGAATTATCTCCATTAAATAAAATTCATTGTTGCTATCTAAAACGAAGTATTTATTCTTGCAGTTTAACTAAAAATACATTAACCTGGATCATGATCAAGAACAATCTAGTTATACAAACTTGGTTTTAGGTGTGTTTACCGTATCGTAGCCGGGTTTTCTTAAGGTAAACCTAAAAATAATAATTGTATTAAAGATGTGTCTGTATTTTTTACTAACGTATTATGTAGATTTTGCCGTCAAATGTTATAATAGAAATTTGTTCAAGGTTAAACAAAATGATCAGTAGTTTGCAGGTCTGTATGTAACATTTTGGGTACCAACAATTCGAATATACTTTTCATTCTTGGCAAGCTAAAATTTTCGTACTTGATATATTAAAACCTATCATCAAGAACATCTTAATATAAATAGTTTCTCTAAAACTTATTTAGATAAATATGAACAGCAGGTACAAGAAATGATCGGAAAACAACAAACCATTGGATTGCAAGATTTTGTTTGTTAATAGGCACAAAGCTACACAATGAGGTATCTGTGCTGTGCCCACTACGAGTATCGAAACCCTGTTTATAGCGGTGTGAGTCCTCAGATATTGAGTCACCGTGGGGCTGTATGGTTGGAAGTAATTTCGTCACAAAGAACACACATAATAAATAATACTAGACGAAACAGCAAAAAAATACACATTGTTCGAACGGTTCAGCTCAGTAGACTATTTTTACTTCAAAGGTACATTATTTTATGAGGACAAGGTTATAATTCTCACATAAAACATAACTTTTTCATAGGAGGGAGTCAGAATCCTCGCTTTCAGTCCTTTTATATAAAACATACAAAAACAACTTATTATTCTTGATTTGTTTGCTATTTAACATATTTGATTAGTATTAATTTAACAAATCTATATCAATAGACAAGAATGATCAGTCTTGAATGCATCTTTTAACAGGTTATAGAGTGAAGTGTATGTGTTAACACTAGTGTAAAATAAAAACCTGTTTTTATGGTCATCTATATCTAGTTGTTCATTTTTTATCTCTGTGTGAAATAAAGTATGGATCGCAATATATTGCGTTAAATATTCTGAACCACTTGAAATTACTCTATTTTATACTTGAAGAAAAATCCGATTATTCTCGAGCTATAAAATAAATTAAACTCCTTTCAATTTTATTTCATCTTGTGTTTGAGTTTCAGCAAAATAACAAGAAAAATAGTTATCAACAAAAAGAACAATTCATCTAACATTTCACTTATAAATAAAACTCATATGAAAGTATTGAATATAAAGACCAAGGCTTAGCACTGAACTATACCAGTTATAATGTCACGTATGTTAAACATTTGTACAGAAAAGGAGTTTATTGTCTCGATATCGCTGGTCAAAAAGTATGAGACAACTGTGTAAGAGAAGACTGGTCATTTTAAATACAAATCTTAGAAATTTTGTTTCAACGTTCTATTTATGGCTACCCATAAACGAACAGCAGGATAGACTGATACGGTTATAATTTTGATAACTTATATATTTGTTTTCTAAAACAACTTTAGCCTTATTACTTGGTATTTATTTTCGTAAATGCAACTTTAAAGTTTTCTATAAATTGCAGTGATATTCAGATACAACCTTAAAAAACAAATCTTCAAGAGAAATAAAACAAGTTGGGACTTTAAGGACTATTAAGGTAGAGTTTTTAGTTCTGTTGAGACGTTGTAGGTGTAAGCACTCAACACCTAACCCTTGATTGATTTTCCTTAGTCGCTGGCAGGTTTGACATCAGCGTTAGGATTTTGTCTGACAGATGGAATATCTCTAACGCATTTGAGTGCCATAACCACAGGCTTTACCCGTTATCCTTAATGTTGACAACTAGGACTGATAAGGGAATATAATTGTTCAATTTTAGTTCTGTTGTAATGTTTGTTTTATATTAAGTTCATTGTTGTTTTATAGTGCTGATTTAGTCGTCTATTGACAATTAATGTTACTAATAATATTATACCTATTTATATATATATACATATATATATACGATAGTGCTGATTTAGTCGCTTATTGACAATTAATGTAACTAATAATATTACACCTATTTATATATATATATATATATATACATATATATATACGTGTGTATGTGTACACATAGTAATGTGAAGAGCTGAGTAATTAAGTTTCAGAATATCTTCTTGACTACTGGTAATGTACGATAATGAAATAATTAAATTATGTATACTTATGATTACATAAGGTATATGTAATTTTACTCATTCCATCAGTAGTCTTTCATATAGTAATGAACTATTGTGGTTATCGTGGCGTAAGTCATTGGTATTTACTTTGAACTTTTGGATTTTTCTTAAATCGATTAATATATAACTTAATACCAATTAAAACACAGATATGATATAATGTGTCATAGATAAATTGTCACGTGACATTACGATAACACACAAACACGCACACACTAGATGCAAGAGGAAAAACACACAAACACGCACACACTAGATGCAAGAGGAAAAACATCTTTCACTTCCACTCAACGTATTCTTTACATTAGTCGTACTGTAAGCTCTGCTCGTTTTTCTTACTTCACCATAAGACAATGTTGAACTTATATGACAGAATGTCTCCAACAACTGGTTTGAGATAGTGGTAAAAAGGGAACAGTCATAGCTAACTTGACGATGGTCACCTAGAAACTTCTTTAAGCAGCTAGAACATATTTCACATTTTATTCAAAACTTCAGATTTAATGCTATTATTTACTTCAGAGATAAAAAAAAATCAAGAACGTTAAAAATACCCTCCGTACATATGTATATCTATTTCTATGAATTTTTTTCAAATTATTAAAATATTGTTCATCCATTTTATGTACTTCCACATTTCTAAGCCTCATTCTTGCCATTCTAATGATGTCTTCATCTCAAGTATCACTGAAAGTCATGCTGTTTATACATAAAATTTTTATTTAGGAACTTGGATGATCTTTGACAATATCGTAACTTTTTTTATACAATACTGTAATTCGTTAGCGAGATAACTTTCCGTAAAATCTGATATTGGTTTTCAAACGGAGTTATTTTTGTCAGGCTGTAATCTGAATTCCGATTACATAGGCCTGCGAATTTAAACTTCATAAAAGTTGTTTTGGTTTTAATAACG